TAATAATAATCTATAAAATTTTATATAAATAGTATATTTGTATACTTAATTATATTAATATATAAACATGATTTATGAGCCTATTGTGCCGATATATATTTTAGATGAGATTAAATATAAAGATACTTAATTTATATGTAGATATAGATGAAAAAAATGTTAATCCATAATTAAGTGATATGTATGCAGAAATAATTTAATCTGATGATATTATAAAATAACATTATGGTCTTGTTGCTATAAGAAAATTAATAAGTATTGATTAAAATCCAATTGATATTACATAATCTATAATATGATTAGCAAGTGGGTACCTTATAAATATTATAGGTAGAGATAACATGTCCATCAAGAAATTACCTTTACCATCAAATAATATTCAACATATATTGCTCTTTCAATTAATAATGAAATAACAATATATGAATGAAAGAATAAATTAATTGAATTGGATCATCTTTAAATATAAATGCTGTATTCAATAGTTTTAGCATTCCTTTATCAATGCATTTTAAATTTTGTTTGATTGCCTTTCAAACTAATTAACTTTATTTAGGGAATATCAAAAATTGTGAATATCATATTACAATCATCTTAATGTTCTTAGCATATTAAACTAAATTATATTAAAATAAATCTTTATATTTATATACCTACTTAACAATAGATCTTATAATATTCTATATTTTCAAACTATGATAATCAACTTTAAATAATTTCATGTCAGATTATATGACTACTTTCATTATCCTTGATGTTTATCACTACTTAATATGATCAAATTTTGGTATAATACTCTAATCAATATTAATTTAATCAATCAATTTGGATCGTTAGGTTATGAGATGTTTAAGAACTATAACTTGTGCAAATTAATTTTTTAATTTTGCATAAGAATGAAACAAATATTTATGTATATTTAAATACTTTATTCCTTCTACAATGTTTAGTTAAGATTTACCTTAATAATAATATGACAAGTTATCATTTACTCAAGAAAATTATCACAATTATCATAAATTAATAATATAGGTTGTTTTTTTAATAACACCAATTAATAAATTGGTAAGATTTAGTAAAACTTTAGTTTAGCCTAAAAATTGTAAAGAATTTTAAAAGAGACATAATTTTTGCTATTGGATATTATCATTAATCATTCAATATTTTAAAATTAATTTACTATCATTAGGGTCATTACCTTTAAATAAGAACATTTAATCAAAGTCCCTTTAAATGTAATCTATAATTACAACTTATTAATATATCATTATATCATTTTTATATGAATAATACAGATTCAGTTTTTTCGTCTTTAGAGATTGAAGGATTCTAATTAATTTATTGAGTTTAATCTTTGTATTTTACCAATAAATAGTTCCTTATTTAATTTTCATAGCTACATCGTTATCTATTTCAATTTTCTTGAGTTATGAAGCTATACAATTATAAGATAGATGTTTTAGGTTAATAAATCTCATAGAAATTCAGTTTAATTAATAATACAATCATTCATTAATTCATAAATTAATAACAATTTGGAATATCTTTTAAATAATGTATTAGATTCTATTAGAGTCTCGATATTAATAAAAGCTAAACTTTATAATTTCCAATTTAAATTGATAGCATGACTAAGGAAATATGCTAAATAGATAAAGAAAATTATAAAATCATTTAGATTACTTCAACGAATTATTATAAAATCTCTAAATTTCAAAATATTAATTTAAAAATGGAAATAACTGAAAAATGAAAGATTTATCTAAAAATTCTTTAGAATTTAAAAAGTGCAACCTAAACTAGAATATGGTATGTAGAAGTAAGTCTGTCTAGAAAAAGAACAGTTTTGAGCTTAAGTAGTATATCTAAAAAATGCAAAAATAAAGTATTTATTCAGGAAAAGACACAAAAAATAAAAAGAGCAAATTGTGTTCTAGATTCTCACGAAAATGGTTAAATATTTAAAAAAAAAGAATATATAGCTTGTTATTCTATATATATCAAATCCACAGTTTTGGATTGTTTGGGATAATTCAGTCAAAACTGAATGGATCTTCCTATTGCATATTGAACCACATAAGGTTTCAAAGATAATAAGATTTGAAGTCTTTTGCTTGACTTTTTTCCTTTTGAAGAACATCATGAAAAGAATTACTCTAATTATTTAAGAATATGTAATAACTCTTATAAAATAAATATAACATGAATCATTATATGTTTATTAATTTGATAATTTATTGTTTCTTCTGGAGAAGTTAGTAATGGAATTTAGTTTGAGAAACTTGGTATACATTTTGATCCACACAACTTAAATCAAAATTGAATATCTATTAGTTTTATATAACTTATCTTAGCGCAATTCTATGATTTGATATTTTTTAACTAAGATATTCTTTGGCAATAATTCTCTTAGAAATTTAGAGTTCTCAAATTTTAAATATTGATATCCTCTAATTATCTGTCGACAATATTCATATCTTTTATTAATAGTAAACCATATATTTTTAATTTTTATATAAAGAATTATTCTAGATTCAAATTAAATGTTTTTGTCAGTAAATCTAATTATAAATTGCCTTTATTAAGACGGAGTCATCAATTACTATCTATGAGCATAAAAATAGTGCATCATAGTAAAATAAAAATAATAAAAGATTATTCCGACCTGAAATTACGATTGACTCATGCTATAAATAAAAGCTCTAAAAAGA